GAAATCATGGAGTTGTTGGAGTTCTTTCCAAAATGTTTAGAAGAAGCTTGCGCATTCCGTCCTGTGGTGTTGATTCTCGATTCCCTGGACCAACTACCCGCCGATGAAGGAGGAAGACGTTTAGACTGGCTACCCGGAAAAATACCCGATGACTGTTACTTGATTATGTCTACCTTACCTGGTTCGGAATATGAGTGTCTACCACATTTGAAGGTCGCCTATTTTTGATGAGCTTTGGCCTCTAAACCTGAGACTAAAATCAAATTAAATCAAACTGAGTCGTGTTTCAAACGAGATTAAGTCTTGAAATAACTGTGGGACAACACGCCTCTCGTATGTTACGTAAATAGTATGGATTGTTTGTTATTGTAGACAACAGACACATTAATGTTTTAGTCTAGTTTTCAAGCTCTTTAAGTACTATTTTTCTTTTCGCCAGAATATATTTCCAGAGCGATGTTTTAAAGAGATACCCACCATCCCCTTGAATGAGGCAGCTGGCATTTTGGAGTGTTGGCTGAGATCAAGTAATCGCGCGTTGATACCTTCGCAGAAGGAAGTGGTCTTAAATGCGTTCCGGGAATGTCCATTACCTTTGTATCTGAAGCTGTCTTTTGACCAAGCTATCCGCTGGAAATCTTATACACCAGAAGATGAAGCAACATTAGCCTCTGGCGTGAAAAACGTCATTAACGACTTTTTAGAACAGGTTGAGCGACGTCATGGCAAAATCCTCGTCAGCCACGCTTTAGCTTACATCACTGCATCGAAAAACGGCCTCACGGAGCCAGAGTTAGAGGATATCTTGTCACTGGATGACGAAGTCCTCGATGACGTCTATCAGTACTGGACACCCCCATTTCGCAGACTTCCTCCGCTATTGTGGATTCGTATACGTTCCGACATTGGAGACTATCTCGTAGAAAGAGGAGCAGATGATTCCCGAGTGATATACTGGTACCATCGCCAGTTTATCGAACTGGCAACTGATCGGTACTTAGGTGCTCGGCCAGCGGATGTTCACTCAAAACTGGCAGACTACTTTTTGGGGAAGTGGTCAAACGGTGCTGAGAAACCTTACATTGATAAAGATGGAAACACAGTGCTCAAAGATAGGTTGGTGGCCGGACAACCCTTGATGTTCAGCAACGATGAAGAAAAGAAGACAGTTTTTAACCTACGAAAATTGAATGAATTGCCTTATCATCTTTTACAAGCAGGCAACCTTGAGAATCTAAAAAAACACGCTCTTTGCAACTTCGAGTTCCTTTTAGCTAAGCTTCGTGCAACTTCTTTAGAATCAATCCTGAACGACTTTACCGCCTCGCTTCTTCTGCATCCAGATGATGAAGACCTGGTCGCTTTGGAGAAAACGTTGCAGCTGTCATCCGCAGCTCTCAAAGCTGATGCTAATCAGCTGGCACCTCAACTTCTTGGAAGACTGATTCCACTGCACAATCAAGCCGAGCTCACTGGCATTAGCCTCCTGCTACAACAGACGTATTCCTCATCGGTCCCTTGTCTGATACCAAGTGACAAATGCTTGACATCTCCGGGCGGACCACTCATTTCGTCCATGAAAATACCAGGCAAATCTGTCTTCAAATGTTGTGGTTTTAGCTGCGATGGGAAAACAGCGTACATTACGTCTTCTTTTTCTCAACCACTTCATATTCAGATATTGAGCGTGAATTTATTGAATGGGAAAACACTCAGACGAGTGACTCTTCCAGGATCGCTGGGGGTAGGAGTCGTGTGGGTCGTTCAGGGAAGCAGTATCAACGAAGATCTCCTGCTGTTGGTAGGTTCTACTGACATTTTTCTCATTAAGCCATCAACGGGCCAAGTGCTCCAGAAACTCGCAGCCCTCGTCAAGGAAAGAATGTACAATCCAATGCCTCCTGTTTCGTTTGTGGATAACGAAACTAGTGTCATTGCCATAACAGACAAAGACATCAAGATATGGACGGCTGAAGATGGAAAAGTTGCACATAAGATTGATATTGGCAAGATTCCCACTGATGAAGAGTACGGCACTATAGGAGCATCAGGGTGTCACGCAGTCTTCAGCCTCCACGGTTCTAGAAGTTTCACAGTGCTCAACTGTAAAACGGGAGAGAGGGTTCGCGAAGTTAACGTGTTCAGCGGGGCGGGTGCATGTTTTGTGGGCGAAATCAAAGTTACCTCCAAAGAGCAAGTGGTCGTGACATCCTCGGAGAAAAATGGCCTTCGATTGTTTGACCTCCACACCGGAGATTTTATCAGAGAAATATCTCAGTTTAAAATCAACAAGGGCCTACTTCGGACCCATATTACAGCAGACGGAACAAAGGCTGTGAGTGTAACTGACTACGAGATTTTGGTGACAAATCTGGAAGATGGAACAGTTTGCAAAACTTTGAAGAGTAAGTCGTTCGGAACGCTAATTATTCACGTTAATTTTTTCACAAACGATGGAAAATTAGCCATCTCCCTGGCTCAGGATGACGTAATTCGTATCTACAACCTTCAGCAGGCTCTCAGAGAGGGCACCGAAGACGTTTCCAAGCCATCATCTTACAACAAGGCCGTATCTTCAATTGATTCCATTAACTATCTAAACACGGGAACAGATGCAAGACATGTAATTGCGACAGCCACGGTCAACAACTCCAACCAAATTGCTATTTGGGACACTTTGACTGGAGTAATGGTGCGAGCGTTGAAAGTATTCCAAGAATTGCCACCCACTACGATAAGAATTTATGGAGCAAGTCGTGCCGTTGGCTATATTCACGATCAAGAGTATCTTCATTTTAGAGTTTTTGATTTGAAAGAAGGGAAGGTTGAAAGAAATCTGCAGGGCAAAGCGTCCAAAAGAACGGAAGCGTTTGGGTTCATTGACGAGAACCACATCATCGCTTTCTCACGCGGAAGACGTAACCTCAAAGTTTGGAGCATCAATGATGGGAAGCTCACAAAGCAATTTAAGTTTGGACAAAAGCATCGATTCGAAGACATGCTTATCAGTAGAAGCGGAAGAGTAGTAGTTTGTAGTCAAATAAGCCCAACTGTTAGCCACGAGGAGGGTACCTTGCCTCTCTTTGCCCTCAACACGCAGTCAGGGGAACATAAAGTCTTGGAAATTGAGAACACCCAGCTAATGCTTTGGAATGGGTGCTTATCAGACGACGGGAGCTACCTCGTTAGTCTTTCCAAAGACTTCAAGGCATTGCTGTGGGATTTCACGAATGGTACTTTAAAGGGTAACCTAGTTGCAAATGAAGAAAATCCAACCGCAATCTGCACGGCCATATCAACAGCAAGCAAAGTGGTCCTAACCGGCCAAGGTGATGGGGGTATCACCGTTTGGGACATTGGAAATGGGCGTGTCCGTTCCACGATGGAATGTGCAACCGTTGATTCCCTTTTTGTCGCACAAGATGGCAAAGTGGCATTTTCAAACTATCGGTACACAAACAGCAACATCGATGCATGGGATCTAGAGACAGGCTCGAAGCTGGCCACTTTCACTTCAGATTGGAAACCAGAACGAATTACAATATCTGGAAATCGTCTTGTGGTGGCTAAAGCAGATAAACCAGAGCTGTTGATGTTCCGAACACATATTCCTAGAAGTTCAGAAGGTACCAAGCCTGTTGATTCTCCATTTAAGGACTGTCCATTGGAAAGTGTTCTGCAAGCTGATCAAGACTTGGTTCATGCTCGAGAAGGGGACGAAGATGAGGATAGCGAAGATGATTTTGACAAGACTGATTTTCAAAAAACTGAGTTCACAAGAAAAGCGGTCCATGCAAAACCCAACGTAATAATTGGTGGCGGTAGCTCGGTTTTTGCTTCCAAAAGTGTTTTCATTTCGGAAAAAGTTTACCGAGACAACTTTATGTGAAACTTCCCATAGCAGAAGTAAAGTTTGCTACGTAATCGGTCATGGCAAAAATTTGACGTGCAGACCTGTAACACGTTAGTCCTCCTTTTTAAATCGAAAGGGTCTTGCATAGATTGCTCTGGTTAGATCGTTTAATAGTTAGGAAACTAATCTTATACCCAAATCCTACCGTACAGCTTAACTAAAAGGCGTGGAAGGTCTGGGTATGAAAATATTAGGAAATTACATGGTAGCACCTTCGAATTACGTAGACCATACGAAGCGTTCATTTCCCTAATTTTAAAAGAAATACATTCCAAAAAAAATCAATGCTACGGAGAAAGTTAAATATAAACCGTACACAGCCGCGCTTAAACGCATCACTCTAAATATTACAAGAAAGGAAAATGCAAATCGTTTTGTTCTAACTTTACGACACTTATACGATCGAAGAGAAGTTATACCTCAATTTTGCATAGGTCAATCTATTGTATTGAAAAATCCAGCGACAAAAGTATATGAACATCGCATTTCGTGGATTTAGTGAGTTTTCGAACAATCTAATCGAATTTTTCAATAGGACTTGCTTCTAATGTAATTAATGTTCCATTAAAGGATTAGAAACCCACCCCTTTTGTAGACTTTCACACCAAGTCCTATAAAGTCATGCAATGAATAATCATGCTTCGATCCCTCAAACTTCTACTTGCTGCGGTGAAGTTTGAAAAGAAGTGAAGTTTTTACCATTGTTTTACTGAAGAGGTGAAAGAAAGCTAGCATCGTCTCCTTCTACACCTTCATTGCATGCTGAGAACTTAAGATTGATACTACTCACCAGATTTTCTTATTGGGTATGAGATCCTACAACTTTTAGATCCATAGCTGTCCTTATAGTTTGTTGGTAAATATTTATCAAAATTTGAACATCCCTCAAAAACACGCAATTTTCAGCATACAAATACAATGGATCTGGCAAGTTTCGCTCCAGACAATAGCGCACGTTTCTAGAAGCAGATATTATTATTATCTATGACGCCAATGCTAATAACCTTGATCCAACTCACTGAGCAAACGGAAAATCTTGTCAACTTATTATGCCCGCCTCGTGACATTAATAACGCAAAGGCGTCGCCTGACGAAACAAGCTTAAGTCATCTTTGCTAGATCAGAGCTCAAGCAAACTTAAGCTGCCAATAAATCGACGTATATTGACCGCTCTGAGGATTCTTTCAACTGTGCTGCGAGAGGAAACCCGTAGAAATTTTGTGTCGTGACATGGTGTACTCCTGCATTCCGAGGGCACAGAGGGTGATCTTAACATCGTGTCGCCATGGTGTCAAACTCTGATGACAGGTTTACATTACTTATTTATTCACTTCTAATAATCATTAAATTCGATTCGCGCTTCGAACTTAGAAACTGAGACTTACCGCTAGTGGGTTATTTTGTTGTTGCTGTTGTTGCTAAAAAAAAGATCATCGTTTGTTACTACGCACGGTAATATCGGAGAGAAGTCTCTTCCATTTAACGAAAATGTCAATTTTCAAACTTGAACATTGGAAGCACATGCAGGTAAGCGCCTAAAACCTTCTCTAATGGACACTTCGCCTTTTTACTTGATTCTTTACTACGAATGAGCTCTAACATAAAAGATTTGATTATCTTGCTGAACAAAGCGTCAATAAGTAAAAAAAAACACTAACACTTCTCGAAAACGGACACGATGTCGAAAATCTCTGCTTGAATAAAGCACAGAATTACAATTATCTAATTCATGATTATTGAGAAAATTCAAGGGATGGAAAATTGTTTTATGGATCGGGGTAATTTTGTGGCTTTATGCGTTTCGTGGTTTTGTATTTCACAAGTAAAAAAGTGGTTTTACAATGAGTAATCTTTAATTGAACCTACAACGCCTGTGATCGCTTCAAAATTTTCAAAAATTAATCTACATATTCATCACATGTTTACAAAAGTAATAGCTGCTGGGGTTAAAAATGCAAATTAGTTTTATATTTTCAGTTCGCAGCAAGTCACGCATTGTGTTTAATTTTTCCAAAAGAAGAAAGAGAGGGAATAACGCACTCATACCTTTGTCTCTTGCATTAAATTTGTCACAAGCTCTTTGGGTTGGTGTACTTATTTTAGTAAAGTACGCCCCACATAACAGGTTGTAGTTGCGTTATTTTCTGTATAAAACTTACTTAGAGGTTGATTTATAACTTTCATCACAGTCCTGACAAATCTGTTGAAAACATCTCGATTTGTCGGTCAAGTTAGAGGTTATCATACCGCCTGACAATGCCGGGAGCGCTGTTTCTGCGAGACGAAAGAAAAAATCAACAGTAGAACATAATGAAGTATTTTCATGTTACGTTATTTCTAAACTAACATAAGAATCGCATGTATAAATGGACTTCCAAAGCCACCTCAACCGAAATTTAGTGTTTTAGACACAAACTCATGGATAAAGTGACTGTGTCGCTTTAGTTCAGCTCTTAATAACGACTTTATAGTAATGATTACATATGTGGTCATCGTAACCGAGAAATAACTGAAAAATATATTTCAGCTGCTGGTTTAAACTTCAACGATAAGTTTCCTCCAAATACAAGCGTCTGTCAAGAACGATGGGTGTTCTTCTGTCCAAAAAGAAAAACAAGGAGCGACATGGCTTCCAGGTAACGGAAGATGAAAACTCCGAATCTCAGAGGAGTTCCGAAGACGAAAAGGAGCCGAAAAGTGACGATGATCATTCCGATAACGAGGAGAAGGACGAAAGTAAATCTGACCAGGAAGAAAGCGCCAGTGAAGACAATGAAGACAAAAAAAGCAGAAGCAGTTCTTCGGCAAGCAGCGAGAAAAGCAAATCATCTCAAGAAGATGAAGGTGTTGAGGAGGAAAAAGACGAAGACATCGAGGTAGAAGAAGGCAGTGTTAAAGATGTCGTCTCGGCTCGGACTGAAGTGAACTTAAGTTACGAGGAAAAAGTAGAGAAAGCCCTGGTTGGTGATATGAATTTTGAATATCCAGAGCAAGCGAAAATCGTGAGGATCTTTACCAGCTCCACGTTCACAGGTATTTTTGTTTCGCATTGGTTCATAAAATAGTTCAAGTTTAGACCTGGGGATGATATAAAAACAACGAAATCATCCTTACAGGTGACCTACAAATGACGAAATTGCGAAAAGCACATCCTGTAAAATTTCATGCATCGACAGGATTCGAATCCGTGCTAAGGAGAGGCTTTATTCAAAACATGAATTTTCGAAGACTACAAAACTTAGTTATATATAGTTTTTAGACTTAAAGAGTCTGGGAACACATAAAGCGGTTATTTTTATTCTTGTCAGTTTTCACTAACGTGCGTTTCGCAGCGCAGATCAGATAGAAGGAAAAAAGTGATCGAGAACACTATATCTAGCGATGGGGGTGCTAGTTCATATGTTTTGCTATTATGGGCTGGAGAGCTCCACGGTAGAGGGGTCCGTGGAACGGTTGTGCTTGGTTTGGCGGAGACGATTACACAGTGCATGACATGCGCACGTGAACCTAGTTATTTCGTTGCCTTTCTTTGCTAAATATTGAAGACTTTATCAGAGTTGCTGCTTATAAATTTCAGAATCCTTAGTTTCGTGCAAGGGAAAGATAGTAAAGATCGAACTTATTGGCTTACGGTCTTTATTTTACTTTTAGACACTTCAGTGGAGCGCAACACATTGATGGAGCGAGTGTACCCCCGACTCAAGTCCTACTGTCAGGGGAGAGGATATGACTTTCAAGTGGTGGACATGAGATGGGGAGTCCGTGACGAGTCCACTGATGATCACATGACCACTGAGCTGTGCATGAGAGAGCTACGCGCATGTCAGAAGCTGTCCACTGGACCCAACTTCATTGTAAGTTAGAGTAAGGAAAAAAAAAGACCAATGAGCTCTCGCAAAAAGGATCATTTTATACACATTGGTAACTTTGGTACCAATAAAAAGCAAAATAGCATTTAAAGATTTTGCTTTTTAAAGGCAGTTTTCAGACCAACCGGTTTTGAATATTTTTTTGACATGTGTGATTGCAAATCCTTTTTTATTTTTTTTTTTTTCAGACGTTTCTTGGACAAAAATATGGTTACCGTCCATTTCCTACGAAAATAGTTGCCTCTGAGTTTGAGAAGCTCCTTGGTGCGGTTGAAAATCAGGACGATGTTGCGCTACTGAAACACTGGTTTTGGCGAGACGACAACGCGGTTCCCGCCCAATATCTGTTGCAGCCAATCACATCGCTACTGCCCCACTATCGCGACTATGCGAACGAGGAGTTACGTAAGAAAGCGTCTGCCGATTGGTGGACAGCGTTTGAGAGAATGCAGGTTGTTTTGAGGGAAGCCGCTGACAAGGCTTTGGATGAGAAGAGTGAACGGCATAAATATCACATGTCAGGTATTGATATAACTCAGGAACACAATTATAAGTTCTTAGCATATTTTGACGTCATCTGTGATCTGCTACTGAACAGACGCACGGTAATAAGGAATTCGTAAATGAGATCATCCTCGCAGGTGAGCCGTAACTAACCCTTTAACCCCCAGAAGTGATTCACATGTTACTTCTCCATACAATATCCATGAACTATCCGGCAAACAGGTAATGAGAATACTCAAATGTATCAGGTAGAAGTTGTTACCTTGATCTAATACCAAATTCTTGCAACTAATTTACAAGGAAATGTTTGGCAGCTAGAGGGAAGAATTAAAAATCCGATCCTGGGAGTTAAAGGATTAAAGAAACTGCAGAAAGGAAACATTTAAATATTCAGGAAGCCTGAATTTTTTCAGGATACTTTTCTGTCATTTCTTTCATCGCTGCTTACCTGCCAGGATCATTTCTTTACCTGTATGATTCAGTTGAGGTTCTGAGAGGTGACCCCATCGAAACATCCACAAAACGTTTTGACGTAGTTACGTACGTTGATCACATTGAATAACTCTTATGGCCATAAAATACCTTATTGTTATACAATTATTTGTGTCCTTTCATAGTTACCGAGGACGAAATCCGAAGAGGCATCATAGACGCTTCACATCCTTCAAGCCATTGCTTCTGGTTTAAAAGAGTCATCACAGATCTCCACGACAAAATTGAGAGTAAAAGCGCTGGAAAATTCATTGATAAAACGTGGGGAGCCAATTCATCGATAGATGAAACTGCTCAGAAATTACTTAACGTTCTTCGGGAGAACGATCTTCCTCAGGCGTTATCAAGCGCAAACATTGTGAATTATGACATCAAATGGTCTGAAGATGGCGTCGACCCATCTACCTCAGAAGAACATTTTCAGTATATAGAAAAACTTTGTAAAGATTTCTATGATACCTTGACTCGGATGATCGATAAGGGGATTGAGGAGAAAGAAACATCTGGTGTGAGAGATGCGTTTGCAGAGGAAGTATTTCAGCATGGTTCGTTTTGTCAGAAAAAGTGCAAATCATTTCATGGTCGTAAAGAGTTTTTGGAGGCTTCGAAAAACGTTCTAGCGAATCATGAAAATCAAGCTGTAGTGCTCTATGGAGAATCAGGTTGTGGAAAGACGTCGATTGTGGCGAAAATTGTCTCCGAAGTTAAACAGTGGCTTGAAGACGACTCTGCTATAGTGGTTTTACGTTTTATTGGTACCACACCCGAATCGTCTGGCATCAGGCCCCTTCTAAGAAGCATATGCGTTCAGTTGTGTAGAGCGACCGATCAGAATACTACAGATATACCGGAGGTATGGTTTGCAATTATTTTACCTATATTTGGAAGGGACGAAAAGATTATTGGTGTGTTCATGAGAAATTAGAATTGTCAGTTAATTCCGTAATATATCGATATATATCACGAGGTTAACATCTATGTGAAGTCAGCAATAACGAGAATAAGGGCCTTACTTTGTTTAGGTCGAGGAAAGAAAAGGAAAAAAATTATTTAAAACTGTTCCATTCTATGTTTAGGACATTAAATCCCTGAAAGACTACTTTCAAGAATGCCTGAAGAATTCGGCTGAAAATCACCCCGTTGTTCTGGTTTTGGATTCATTGGATCAACTCTCCATAGATGACGGTGGCCGGCAAATGGACTGGTACCCAAGACAGTTACCAAGCGACGTGTACGCCATTCTTTCCACGTTACCAGGCGAGGAATATCAGGCCTTACCAAATCTCAGAGTAAGTTGAAAGCAGCATCCGGAAAATTCATGCCTTTGTTCTTTTCTTTCCATGTCAATAAATTTGGATACTAGGACTCCTGTAATTTGGAGTCTTTATTTAAAAGTGCGTAACTGTGTTGAAAAACATATTTGTCGTGTTAAACGCCTCCACCACAAAGATAAGTACCGTATTTCACAACTCAACCATTTATTACTTTTTGTTAATCACGAGGTCGCGTAAAATCACATGACCATAACGTCACTAACTCAATGGCACGCAATGCGTGCAAACAAGATAAAAAATATTAACAAAAACAACTAAACAAAATTAAAGCAACTATCTGTTCGCTTGTGCTTTCCTCGCATTAAGCTTCTGCACAGAATCGAAGAATATAATCTTAAATGCTTTCTGTTTGAGCTTTTACCGTAAGTCTATGATATATTTTTTTAGTTAGAAGCATGATTGTATTGATTCATTTTCTTTGCACATGGTAGACAATCCTTCCGAGTGAATGTTTTTTGGAAGTACCAAAGATTCCTCTTAATGAAGCAGACGTCATCCTTGACAATTGGCTCAGAGCAGGTAATCGAACAATCCTACCAAAACAGAAAACCTATGTCATGGAATCTTTTCAGAAGTGTCCCCTTCCATTGTACCTTAAGCTGGCTTTTGACGAAGCCCTGCGATGGAACTCGTACACTCCTTTCTCCGAGCTTTGCCTCGAGCCATCTGTGCGGGAAATCATTGATGACATGTTCAGCCGGGTTGAAAGACGACACGGGAAAGTTTTGGTCAGTCATGCGCTGGCCTACATCACAGCATCCAAGAACGGCTTGACAGAGACTGAATTAGAAGACTTGCTCTCGTTAGACGAAGAAGTCCTTAATGATGTCTATCAGTACTGGACACCTCCAGTGAGAAGACTTCCACCACTGCTGTGGATTCGCATTCGGTCTGACATTGGTGACTATCTTATTGAACGAGGAGCTGACGGCACCCGGGTGGTATTTTGGTATCATCGTCAGTTCATCGAGGCTGCAAGGGAAAGATACTTGGAAAGTGATCAAGCTACTAAAATTCACGCCATTATGAGCGAATACTTCCTCGGGAGGTGGTCTGGCGGAATCAAAAAGCCATTTCTTAACAAAGAAGGCAAAGAGATGTCCATGGACAGATTGGTCCCAAAGCAACCATTGATGTTCGACTCGAGTGAGGACAACGAGATCTTTAATCTTCGCAAGTTGAGTGAGCTTCCATTTCACTTGTTTCATTCTGGAAACCTGGAACAAATGAAACAAGAGTGCCTTTGTAACTTCGAATTTCTTTTGGCAAAACTGAGAGGAACCTCTCTACAAGTTCTTATGAGTGATTTTTCGTCTTTCCTTGACGCAAAACCGGAAGATAATGATGTGGATCTCCTTCACGAGTGCTTACAACTCTCTGCTCATTCACTCTCCCAAAATGGTAATCAACTACCCACACAGTTGATAGGCCGCATGTACAACTTTTTAGAGAGACAGGAACAGTACCCTGATGTGTACAAGGTCTTGAAGCAAGCGCTGAATTCTTCGACAGCTTGTTTCCTTCCAAACAGAAAGTGTCTGACAGCGCCTGGTGGAGCACTGCGTTCTGCCATCGGGTTAACGCAGCTTGGCAGCGATGTCATCAGCATGGCTAAAGATAACCGCACTATTGCAGTGTCAAGCCAAACGTCGGATGGCCTTGTTGTCAGAATCATTGATTACGTTAGTAATAAAGAAGTGAGAAAGTTTACTCTTCAACAACCGGTCGAAATGTATAGCACAAATTTTAATCAAATAAGTCAGAAGAATCCTGATTTATTGCTGCTCGCTGGATCGCATAAAATCTTCCTGCTCAACACACTCTCTGGACAAATAAAGCAAGAATTTCAAGTTTCTGATGACGATTGGTTTTCTTACAACCCTTATGCTCCAATTTCATTTGCTGATGATGAAAACTTGCTGGTTGCTATCTGTCCTGATTCACTGAGGGTATGGCAGATAGAAAATGGTACACTTCTCCACACCCTACCCCTGAAAGGCGTCAACACAGAAGACGAAATTGGTGCCATAGATGCTCGTGGAAGCTTTGCGGTCTACAACGTCCGGGGGACAAACACGGTGCACTTCATCGATTTGAAAATTGGCCGAGAAGTGCGAAAGATCACCATCTCATACCCTAAGAGTAAAGGTTCCAGCGAAAACGTCTTTATCAAGGAAATCAAAATAACATCCCTTGATCAAGTGGCTGTGATCCCATCTTCATTTGATAGTTTGCGACTTTACGATCTCTCAGCAAACCTGATTCGTGAACTAACAAATTTCAAGATGCAAGAAGGTCTTCATCGAATGCAGATTACCGATGACGGCACGAAAGTCGTGACAGCTGATATGTATGAAATCTGTATTCTGAACCTGGAAACAAACGAAATGGAGAGATGTCTCAGAAGTCCAATTTTTCGGATGCGAATTTACACACGTGATGGAATCCACATATTGGCGGTGGGACAAGACAACATCCTACGTGTCTACGATAAAAGTCGAGAGGAAGATGACGAAAACCAAAAGGATACTGCTCTCAGCACAATACAAGGCAACACGATTGCTGACCAACTCACAGCCATTTCGCCCAGTTTTGATCAACGTCATGTACTAACATCAGCTGTTATTCAACTTCGGAACGAGCTAGCTGTCTGGGATGGGCTAACTGGTAAAAGAGTTCGCCGTCTAATGAATCTTACGGTGTTTCCGAATCCCATTCGCATGTTCACCGCCACCCGCGCTGTCGGCTTCATCTACGATCAGGAAATCCCACATTACAAAGTGTTCAACTTTGCTGAGGGAAAAATTGAGAGAAATCTGGATGGAAAAGCATGTAAAAGGATGAACGCGTTTGGATTCATTGATCAAAGACGGATGATCTCGTTTTCTAGAGGAAGGCGATTCGTCAAAGTATGGGATGTTGACAGTGGCAAAGTGCTGGAGGTGGTGAAGTTCAAAGAAAAGCAACGATTCGAGGACTTGTTGATCAGTAATAACGGCAAAACGGCCGTGTGTTCACTAGCAAGCCAGATGACTCAGCATCGCGACAAAGAACTACGCTTGACTGTTATTGACACAACCAGCTTCAGCAGCAAGAACCTTCTGTACAAAGGCGAACAGTTAAGTCTTTTTAACGCACGGATATCAGATGATGGAAACTATCTGGTCAGTTTAGTGCAATATTCTCAGCCACTACTCTGGAACCTCCAAACTGGCCAGCTGATACAAAAGCTGTTTGACCCGGACGCCTACGAAACGGCCAGCACCGTCGCAATTTCGGGAGCATCGATGACAGCCATAACTGGAACGGGTGACCAGAAGATCAAAATATGGAGCATCGAAAGTGGTGAGGTCTTGCGCTGCATAGATACTTCGCCTGTCCTCGAGCTTTTTATTTCACCAGATGGGGAAGTGATCATTTCCAAATCTCAAGAAACAAATGGCTTCGACGCCTGGGAGACGAAGACTGGGAAGAAACTTGCCTCGTTCACTACTGACGGTTTCCCAAATCATGCGAAAAGTTTTGGAGACAGGCTTGCATTGGGACTTGGCGAAAACCCTAATCTGATGATTCTCCATTTGCATCGTCCCGCACTGAAAAACAGAATGGAAGAAGAGAACTTACAGTCTCCATATGACGGTCTACCCGTGGAAGCAACCGTGGAAAGTTTCCAAGAAAAACCTACGCGTGATGACGGCATTGATGATGATAAGGATAATGATAACAGTTCCATAGCCTAGAAAACCGGTTCGGATAATCTGGGATGACTTATTAGGTAGTAAAACTGAAGGACTAAACTATTTCTAGTATGTTAAGTTCTTGCGTGTTGTTACTAGCTGGTGACGTTTTTCTTCACCACAGACGCTTTGAAACGTTTCAAAAGCAAAACATGATTGATTGATATTACCAAAGCTATATATTCACAAGGATTATATTATTTTTATTTCAGTACCGTAGCACCTGTAGCTGCTTACTATTACCTCTGAAGAAATAATAAATCTCTTCATTTTCTGTGATTTTTCACTAGTCTTCTTTTGCGTTCGATATTTCATGTTATGTTTTCTAGAATTCAATTTATTGTGGGATGTATTGAAAAAGCAGGCCACGACTCTTCATTAGCCCTTTCACTCCAAAGATCTGATTGTTAATTCACCCCTTTAGTTTCAAAACATTTCTTTGTAAATTAGTGACGAGAATTTGATGTTAGATCACGATTATGACAACTTCTACCTGTTAAATTTGAGTATTCTCATCACCTGTTTGCTGGATAACGTATGGATATTATAGGGAGAAGTTACATGCTAATCACTTCTGGGAGCTAAAGGGTTAATTATTCCCTTGTCGCGGTGACGAACGTTCAAACAATTGATCTGTCAAACGATAGCCAGTCAGCGCTTATCAAATCGTTTTTGTTAGTTCGGCCGTGTTATAAATTGATTGCTTTACTCTTATCAAACGGCCTCCTCACTTATTTCCCAGTCTCTAAGGTCTTCTTTAGCCCGTACGGCAGCTTTCTTTTAGAGTGATTTATAAAATGAAAGTTTTTCCGCTAACACGACCAAAACAAAGCATTTGGTCAGGAATGCAGTAGCACGGTACTCCAGGAGATGGGCCAAATGGCCTACACTGTCGCAGCTTATCTCAGTTTCTGTAGCTTAGAGCAACTTAGATTATACTTTTCCTCCACGGGATGGGATGGTTGTCGGTCGCATGGCATTCCTCCCACCCCTCCCCCCCCTCCTCTTCCATCCCTAGGCTAGGATTTCGTCACATTTCTCGGTTAATTTGCCGTTAGACCACCTTGTCGCACACTGTAATAGATTATGTTCAATTATTAAGTGTGGTCTGCCTGTGGTAATACCAAAAGCCAAACGAAGTAAAAGTTCCTAATAGTAATTTTTCTTATTCCCTGCCATACTACTCTTGTGATGTTACTTCGGAGATTTTGGTATTGGATCAACATTCCCTCAATTGATGTTTTCCTATATTCTCATCACTTGTCTGCTTGATATCGTTTTGATACTGTAAGGAAAAATTCTGTCTTGGTCACTCAGGGGAGTTAGAAGGTTAAACTAGTGGAGTAGAAGCAGTAGGTGGTAGGAATAGCACAGTCTGAAGCAATCGCAAGTCTAAACATGCAAAATTTTAACATCGTCGGCCATAGGACGAGAGAATTCAACGTTGATCTTTCTTTCAGCTGAACAAACGATTTCTTCGTACCACTTGACGATACTTAAAGCTGATGTAAAAAAAGTACAAAACGATCACTCAAGTGTGGTTCTGCGACACTTTTTCGATTAAAAAGGCGTCGGTCGGCCCAACCCTCCATTCCGCATTCGTTGAAAGATCAATATCTTCGCAAGACGTTTGCGTTGTGCTTTTGAAGAATTTCTCGTAATTAAAGGGTTTCATATGTTATGTTAGCGGTCATTAGTGCATGTAGTGTGTTGTGTTCATGGCGTCGAGGCGTTGTAATTCATAAGTGCATTTTATTTTTGATGATTACAGCTTGAGTTTTCTACGGCTCCCTGTGCACACCCACAACGGTTAACAATAAGTTGAAACAAAAGATGTCAAATCGTACTGTTTTAATTCAATCTTCCAACCGTAATCCTAGTAGTGGTTGATCTGTCTTGATCTACTAATGAAAATGATGGTGTAACCACAAGTTTTTTTTGTTAGCATCGAATCTCGACCTTTCCCGACAGATGGCACCGAATAAACTATCTTTAATTCCGGCTTACAACACAAGATGGAACAGCAAATTCGTATCGCGTTTTATTTCATATTTTACAAACCGTGACGACTAATTTACAAATAAGTCTTTCGTGACATATTCCTGTTTTAAATTGTTTTCTCTTTTGAATGTTAATGCTACGCGAAGAGGTTTCTCTTTCGTAGTTATCAGGTGCACGTTGGCGCCAGAAAAACTGCAAAGTTGTAGAAACAGTGAACTAGACCATTTAAGGACAAGCCCATTATTTAAGGTTGGTCTGTTTTTTTTTTTTCTTTTCTTACACCGCCTGGAAGTGTTTCGAGCGAATGCTTCATTCACGCTATGTTGACAACGATATGGAAATCGACGAAGTATTGAAGATTTCGGCTGTCGATTGAGCTTAAAACACGATCCGCGAGCTAAATGATCACGAGGAACTTAACTGACAACGCTCGAAGAATGCTTTTGCTTATAACGAGGACACAAATCATCAGAAATGTTCGACGAGAAACCGCAGTGATAATGCTGTCGAAAGAATTGTGTTTTTATTCGTAGATAGTGCGTTTTATGGTCTTCTTGAATAGATTAAAAGTTACCTGTCTTCGGCGGGAAGATTGTCACAAAGAATTAAATCTAGTTTCGTCACTTTTTTTCTTTTCTCTCCCAATAGAAGAAGAAAGGCATAGATCAGGGTAAATAAGGTAAAAACTGGTTTTTTTTTTGGGCTTTAAAATAATGCCCGAGGTTGTTTTGAATTTATCAGTAACCATGAGTACCGTTTCTAACATATAAACTTAGCTTATTTAATTAAATCACCTATTAAATACTTGAAGGATGATAAATATCTTATAATTTCTGTCGAGTTGCACTAAATTCGTCTTTTCTTTAATCTTTCTTTTTTTAACAGAGATCACGCAAATGTATAACTATAAAATTAATATGTCGATGAAACAGCTAACGTTAAATCAAAACATCGGGAAAATTCCGAGAAAACGAATATTTTCTTCGGGATTGGTCGGGTTTTTCTATTTACGATTGAATTTCCTCGCTGTATGACCCGTTTTTCAAGAAGTTTTGTCGACTTTATTTTTGTTACTTTCGCATGATGTTATTTGATCAAAAAGGCTTAGGCGTTGTATAATCACTTTTAAAAAACAATTCAAAGCGTCTGTGATTCCCGCGAATTTCATCGAAAGCATAATTATCATATATTGTTTTTTGTGTTTTTCACGGCTAAAACTGGCCTCGACCCTGTAGTTCACATTCCACAGCCACCTTCACTTCTTCAAATACTTCACCACATTCAGTTTTAATGATGTAAAGGGGAATCAGAAACTCCCGCCCAGATAATGATTCACGATAAAAAGTCGACAAAACCTTCTCGTCCCACTGAGGAATTGGCAATCATATTTTCAACGAAATTTGATCAACTCCTCCTTAATATCTTTGTTGATGCCTCAAACAAATTTTAATCGATTAATGCAAAGGGGACATTGCGGAACAGAAACTCAGTCGGCGAAGTTAAAAAGAGGAGGTTGTAAGTGTCGATTACTTACCCTTGAATGAATGATGGAGACAGAAATTCTCCTTACAATATCAATATAATATCAAGCAGACTCGTGCTGAGAAGAAAGTGAAATATCAATCAGGGGATTGTTGGTTGATTCAATACCAAATTCCCCAAATTAACATCATAACAATTATATGGCAGACAGTAAGGAGAATTACTAATGAGATCTTGAGAGTTCAAGGGTTAAGGGGGGTAATCTAGGGGCATGTTTATAAGGGCAATTCATTTCTTTCTCGCGCGAAACAAAGGGGGGGGGGGCTGGTGTGTATTTATGCAGAAAGGTCATTTGATAATATCGTTGTTATGACTTTTATTAGTTAACAGTATTTAAGATCATACCTCTTGAAGCTCATCGATAGAGTGGCTTGTGCCATTCGTCGCCTTAACTCAGTTCTTAACTTTTTAACTCCCATGAGTGACCAAGAGAGAGTTTCTCCTTACAATATCCAGAGAATATTAAGCAGACAAGTGATGAGAATAAAGAAAAATAGCGATAAGGGGATTTTTACCCGATCAAAAGCCAAATTCTCCAAACTAACATCGTAAGAACTGCATGGCAGAAAGTAAGGAGAATTACTATTGAGATCTTGGCAGTGAAAGGGTTAATAACGATTTTATACTAATGGTTACATATGTGGTTATCGTGACCGAGAAATAACTGAGAAATATCTTTCAGCTGTTGGTTTGAATTTCAAAGGCAAGTTTGTTCCAAACACAAGTGTCTGTCAAGAACGATGGGTGTTCTTCTGTCCAAGAAGAAAAACGAGAAGCGACAGAGCTTCCAGGTATTAACGAAAAAAACTTATTCAAGTATACTGAGATGGCTGTAGTTTAACTTTAGAACAGCGATATATCAGCTGCGTGTTGTCACCCCTAAACCGAAGTGTTTTAAATAGAAATTCTGACCAAAAGAGGAAAACAAAGTGCACCAAGAAATAAGTTTGGGAAGGACACGGGTGATATCACTGGAGATAACTCTTGGTTTTGTTTTATTTTATCACTCGTCATTAGGTCAGTGCAGTTCCACAGGACGAAGACCAAGCGAGAGAGGAGACCGCTGGCCCAAGTGATCGGGAAGACCCCTCGGGAAAAAGAAGGAACGAAGATGACTACTCCGAATCTCAGAAGAGTTCCGAAGACGAAAGGGAGCCGAAAAGTGACGATGATGACTCCGAGAACGAGGAGAAGGACGAAAGTAAATCTGACCAGGAAGAAAGCGCCAGTGAAGACAATGAAGACAAAAAGAACAGAAGCAGTTCTTCGGCAAGCAGCAAGGAGAGCAAATCATCTCAAGAGGATGAAGAAAAACGGGAAGGAGTTGAGGAGGAAAAAGACGAAGAGGTGGAAGTAAAAGAAGGCAATGTTAAAGATGTCGTCTTGGATCAGACTGAGGTGAACTTAAGTTACGAGAAAAAAGTAGAGAAAGCCTTGGTTGGTGATATGGATTTTGAATATCCAGAAAAAGCGAAAATCGTAAGGATCTTTACCAGCTCCACATTCACAGGTATTTTTTCTTACCATTTCGTGAAATAGTTCATGTTTTGATCGGAGATGATATACAAACAACGAAATAATCATTACAAGTGATTTACAATTGATTGAATTGCATGAAAAGAATCCTATCAAA